AGGAGGCCAATGTTGAGGCCCCCCCAATGTTGAGCCAATTTTTCGGCAGGACCCCCCAATGTTGAGCCAATTTTTCGGCAGGACCCCCCAATGTTGAGCCAATTTTTCGGCAGGACCCCCCAATGTTGAGCCAATTTTTCGGCAGGACCCCCCAATGTTGAGCCAATTTTTCGGCAGGACCCCCCAATGTTGAGCCAATTTTTCGGCAGGACCCCCCAATTTTTCGGCAGGACCCCCCAATGTTGAGCCAATTTTTCGGCAGGACCCCCCAATGTTGAGCCAATTTTTCGGCAGGACCCCCCAATGTTGAGCCAATTTTTCGGCAGGACCCCCCAATGTTGAGCCAGTTTTTCGGCAGGACCCCCCAATGTTGAGCCAGTTTTTCGGCAGGACCCCCCAATGTTGAGCCAGTTTTTCGGCAGGACCCCCCAATGTTGAGCCAGTTTTTCGGCAGGACCCCCCAATGTTGAGCCAGTTTTTCGGCAGGACCCCCCGTCCCACCAGTGTTGCACCAGGTTTTCGTCAGGACCCCAGGGTTTGGGCTCTAGGGTTTAGGGCCTAGGGTTTGGGCTTTAGGGTTTAGGGCCTAGGGTTTGGCCTTTAGGGTTTAGGGCCTAGGGTTTGAGCTATAGGGTTTAGGGCCTAGGACTTTGAGGTTTAGGGTTTAGCGCTTGGGCTTTAGGGTTTAGGGCCTAGGGTTTGGGCTTTAGGGTTTAGGGCCTAGGGTTTGGGCTTTAGGGTTTAGGGCCTAGGGTTTGGGCTTTAGGGTTTAGGGCCTAGGGTTTGGCCTTCAAGGTTTAGGGCCTAGGGCCTAGCATTTGGGCTTTAGGGTTTAGGGCCTAGGGTTTGGGCTTTAGAGTTTAGGGCCTAGGGTTTTGGGCTTTAGGGTTTAGGGCCTAAGGCTTTAGGGTTAGGGTTTAGCGCTGGGGCTTTAGGGTTTAGGGCCTAGGATTTGGCCTTTAGGGTTTAAGGCCTAGGGTTTGTTTGGGCTTTAGGGTTTAGGACCTAGGGTTTGGGCTTTAAGTTTAAGGCCTAGGGTTTGGGCTTTAGGGTTTAGGGCCTACGGTTTGGGCTTTAGTGTGTCATGCTTCTTTCTGTAAGGCAGAAAAGATGACACATATCCGGCCTGAAATGTGTCATGCTTTTTTCTGTAAGGCGGAAAAGATGACACATTTCCGGCTTGAAATGTGTCATGTTTCTTTCTGTAAGGCGGAAACGATGACACTCTGCAAGGCGGAAAAATGACACATTTCCGGCCTGAAATGTGTCATGCTTCTTTTTGTACTGCAGCAATAGAAACATAAGTATATGCTAGAAATCAAGGCGTAGGGTTTGAGGTTTGATGTCGTCTGAGGGTAACGAAAAAAACTTTCTAACTCTTATGTTTTGGGATTCTTTGGGTGGGTGGGTATTCTTCCAAGTTCTTACTAGCGAACTTGACTAGAGACTGCTCGACCAGAGCTGCTGAAACCCTAAACCCTAAACCCTAAACCCTAAACCCTAAACCCTAAACCCCTAAACCCTAAACCCTAAACCCTAAACCCTAAACCCTAAACCCTAAACCCTAAACCCTAAACCCTAAACCCTAAACCCTAAACCCTAAACCCTAAACCCTTAACCCTAAACCCTAAACCCTAAACCCTAAACCCTAAACCCTAAACCCTAAACCCTAAACCCTAAACCCTAAACCCTAAACCCTAAACCCGTTTTCGCTGATTTTTAAGCTATATCAGCAAGATAACAAGCTTTCAAAGCTTCAAGAAGGAGTTAGTGGTTTAGAGCGTGCAAAACCATATAGAGGAAGCTTAGAGACAGCTTCACAGAGCTTAGTTTGCTGGAGCTTCCAATGGTGTCCGAAAGCGCACTTCGCTGGAACTGTGTTATTTATATGTAAAAATCAAACAAAAAGCCTTTTAGAGTGCAGTCCTCGTGGCGACTCTTTAAAGGAAGCCTAGGGCGAGGACGTAACGTGGCTACCTCCACAGGACCTGAAGCCGGAGAGCCTCCAGGCCTGAGAGGCGCTTCGCTCCCGAGAGTCTCGGTCTCCAACAACGCGCGCGCGCGCGCACTGGCGCGCGCGTTAGAGGACACCGGTAGACCGTAGGCTACCGTTAAGATCATGAAAGGTCTTATAAGAAGCAAGCACTACCCACAGCAGCTGAGGCTGCGGTCACGCCATCGCTTTACGACAGTGCATTGCCTGGTCAAGGCAACGCATTGAGCAACTGATCAAGAACATTCGAACCACATCTCTTGGCCGTGGCACACTGGCAAGCACACCTTCAACCGTGGATCTTCAAACAGCTGATCCTGCGGTCACGCCATCGCTGTGCGACAGCAACTGGAGCTGTCAAGCTTCTTTGCGATGACCCCTCAGCCACTGGCCAGTGACTTTTTGACCGCAAGCATGGGTCCTTGTCCTGCATTTTTTCTATCCTCGCTGATAGTAGCAGCTTCAATTGTTTACTTGCTTTACTTAAAACAAGCAAGCAACGGTGTTGACATCATAGGAATTTTAAGGTTTAGCGACAGCAGCAGCTTCAAGCTTTTCGTTGCCTTACTTCAAACAAGCAAGCAACGGTGTCGACACCATAGAAATTTTAAGGTTTAGCGACAGCAGCAGCTTCAATCTTTCACTTGCTTGACTGAAAACAAGCACGCAACGGTCTCGACACCATAGGCATTTTAAGGGTTAGCGACAGCAGCAGTTTCAATCTTTCACTTGCTTTACATAAAACAAGCAAGCAACGGTATTGACACCATAGGCATTTTAAGGTTTAGCGACAGCAGCAGCTTCAAGCTTTTCGTTGCCTTACTTCAAACAAGCAAGCAACGGTGTTGACACCATAGGCATTTTAAGGTTTAGCGACAGCAGCAGCTTCAAGCTTTTCGTTGCCTTACTTCAAACAAGCAAGCAACGGTGTTGCAACCATACGAATTTTAGGGTTTAGCGACAGCAGCAGCTTCAAACTTTCACTTGCTTTACTTAAAACAAGCAAGCAACGGTGTTGCAACCATACGAACTTTAGGGTTTAGTGACAGTAGCAACTTCACCATTTTACTTGCTTTACTTAAAACAAGCCAGCAACGGTGTTGACACCATAGAAATCTTAAGGTTTAGCAACAGCAATGGAAGCAATGTACACGCATGATGCGGATACACTGTGGACATGGACAGGTTTGTTTGCATCTGATTGCAGCTCAGTCCCCTGTGAGCGGCGTACCTTGGCTCTGAAAACTACATTATAGTCGGCACATATGAGCGCCATGCGAGTGCAATTGCGCACACAAACTTGGAATATCGCGACAGTGTGAAGACTTTGCTGAAAGCAGGGCTGCGTGAAGAGAGAGGTACGAAGTCAATGTAGCTTTGCATTGGTCAGAAGGCTATCGACTCTGCTTCGGAATGTAGGATCGCGGGGTTGAACGATTGTGCAGGAATCTTTGCTTGTGGCTGCCAACTTCTACTTGCAGAAGAGGCACGGTGATCTGACGCTAGCCTCAGCAGACGTAGCAGTTCTGTGTGGAATCTAATGCTTGCTGCAGATCAGCTCGACCTGTCATCAGCGCAGCCAGCTTTGCTTATTCGCCAGCAAAACTAGTGTACAGTCATGCCTTTCCAGCAGCGCTTGAAGTCCTCGGTGACAATTGTGGATCTGTGTGACGACCAAGAGACAGTTAAGCTCGAAACTGCGGCTCCGAGGGTGGCGGTGTCGCAGGCAGAGGACGCGCATGGTGCCGATAAGAAGATGGCGAAGCTCGAAGCTGTTGTTTCGAAGAACGAGGTCCCGGTGAAGCGGGAGAAGCAAGAGCGAGCCACGGTTGAAAGGAAGCCAACTGCTCGCGGCAAATACCTGATGTATGCCCCGCACGAAGGTCACGGTGTATGTCGAGGTAAACCCGGCCATCCGTGTGTGTTTGGGCACATGTCGTCACCGGCTATGGCGGCACCCAGCGGGCTCTGCGATCTATGTGATCCCACGATGATCGCGACCTTGAGTGAGTCTTTGCCTGGACGACTAACTTACCTCTTGAAGAATGTCGATACATCGGCTAGTGGAAGGGCTTTCGAGTATGTGCAGAGCGCGCTCGGCGTGGAAATGGCGAATGAGTACCGTGCCAGAGTTGACCGAGCTCGCCAACGCCAGAATCCAGCGCGAGTGCGCCGAGCAGCTCGTGGACCGTACCGTAAACGTGAAGCTCCATGCAGTGAAGATGTTTGCCCGGGTCGTGATGGTGCAGGCTGCAACTTTGGAGAATCTTCCTCCGCAGCAACAGCCTTGACTTCGGGCTATTGCGGGCTGTGCGATTCCCAAGTGCTGAGGCAGTGGTCTGAACAAGAGCCTGCCAAGCTCACAAGCACACTTCGTCGGCTGGAGCAAGCTGCTCTGGAGAAGGCCTTGGATTTCTTGAAAGCTGATGTTGGCGAGGTCAAGGCAAAGGATTTCGAAGCTCGAGTTGAGCGAGCCCGTCGTCGTCGGGATCCAGGGCGTCCGAAAAGGAAAGCACGTGGCACCTACAAGCGGAGCTAGACAGAAGAAACATTCAGAGGAACATGTACTGATGTGACTTCGTTTTTAGGGTATGGATAGTGTCAGCTGTCCCTGCGTAAGTCGGGTGCTCGGCTCAATTTTGGACTGCAATCGTGGTCTCACGTAGATCCTGGAATCGAGTCACATGGCTGAAGGTTTTTGAGTGACTACAGAGATGCTTTTGTTGAGTCGAGTTCAAGGTGTGTGTAAGTCACATCGAGAGGCGGTGGTTTTCGATTGGCATTCAGCGAGCAGAATTTCAAAAAGTTAGCTGCTTGTTGGTCGATGCATGTCCTTGCAGCATTGTTAAAAAACATGTGTCTGCGGCAGTCTTTTCTGTGCTTCAATCGTTGCACTGCTGGAGCCTGCCTGCTTCACACAAACACCGGATATCGCTGGCCGCCTTGAGTCAGCTCGAAGCTCTTTGTAAGCAAAGTCTTTCTTTCGCTTTCCTTGTGTTTTGTCCAGATGTCGGGTGGTCTCTTTGGCGAAGCTGCTGCTCCGGCCGCGCCCAAGGAAGAAGAGCGCCGCACGAAGTTGTATGGCTATGACAGCGTCGCAAGCCAGATGCTGGAGCCTTACGGCGAAGGCGCATTGGACACGTTATCCCTAGAGCAAATTTGGCAAGGAACGGTTAAAGGCAACAAACGGACGGCCTATCACAGCCATTTGGCTGCTGATCAAAGCTCCGACGGCTGGCATGTTGGAGCCGGCATTTCCATGACCTCTGCGGCCTTGCTTGCCGCAATCAAGAACTTCAAAGGCGAAGACATGAAGAACTTGATTCGGCCCGACCTCTATGAAAAGGTGCTCGAAGAGGTGACGATGTTGGAGCCTGTTCTACTGGCCCTCAACTTCGGCAGAGGCTCCGCTGCTACCCGCGACACTGGGTCATTCCGAGAAGCTAAAAAGGCCAAGCTCACGGTTTCCGGCAACGTCACCGAGAATTCCGGCAACATGGATCCTTTGAAAGCTGCGGGCGACTTCAGAACCTGGCTGGTCAAGGAAAGATCACCGTTTCGAAGCCTGCTGTTCATCCTCTCGGGCAACAACTCTTACTACAGCGGGCACACCGCCGAGCTTGTGGCTCGAGCAGCGGTCAAGGTGAAGCCGATGACCGAGCAAGATTTCATTGAGGCAGTGAAAGCCCGAATGACTAAACCGGATCAGACTCAGGGCAGCAAGGCAGCGTCCTCAGATGGTACTGGCCTCTTCAATGCCTGAGCGGCTTTCGGGTGATCGCGAAAGCGCGAGTTGCATAGTTCCAGACACTCGGTCCTAGGCAACGTTTTTGAGTGACTACAGAGATGCTTATGTTGAGTCGAGTCCAAGATGTGCGTAAGTCACGTCGAGAGGCGGTGGTTTTCGATTGGCAATCAGCGAGCAGAATTTCAAAGAGTTAACTCCTTGTTGCTCGATGCATGTCCATGCAGCATTGTTAGAAAACATATGTATGCGCCAGACTTTTCTGTGCTACAAGCAACCATTGCTCTTAACCTCGGTAATTGCTATGGCCTTCGACATGAAGTTGATCAATGTCGGGAACAGCTGCTTCATCAACGCTGGGCTGCAGGCGGTTCTTGCTCTTCCTGGGTTCGAGTCGTTGCGACCGACGACGGCAACAGAAAGAGCTTTGTTGGAGGTGTGGTCTTCGGCATTGGCGTTGGTGGGTGCGAGCACTCCGCAAGCCGTCAATGATTTGTACTACCAGGGGCGCCAGGAAGATTGCATGGAGTTCCTGGGCGAGCTGGTCGCGGACTGTCCGACGGTTCACACGAAACTTCAAGGCAGGGAACGAGGTCATCTCGGGTGTGCATTCTGCGATTATCGTCGGCCTCTTCCGGCGGAGAACTTCCTGACGCTGCAGCTCGCTCTTCTGGATGATGATCGGCGGCTTTGTTCGGTGCAGGCAGCGGTGGATTCCTATCTTGCCCAGAACATCTTGCAAGAGGACATCGTTCATTGGGAGTGTGGGAATCCGACTTGCATCGAAGCCGGAACAGCTCGTCATGCCCCTCGTCGCTCTAGCCAGGTGGAAGCATGGCCCGAGAACTTGATCATCCAGCTGAAGAGATGGGACGTGCTGCATGGACTTCTCAACCACGAGGTGTTCGTGGACAAAGAGCTTCGAGTAAAGGAAGATGTCCGGTATACACTTCGTGCAGTTGTTTGTCATCTAGGAGAAACAGCATCCAGCGGTCACTATGTGACTTATCGACCTAACGAGAGGAACTTTGTCAGGTTGGACGATGCACGAGTTTCCGAAATCGATCACAACCCGGGTCAGATGCCTACGAGTGCAAGAGAAAAGACTTACATCGTTTGCTACGCTCGCCTGGAGGGTGTGCTTCCTGTTCCTGTGCTGCCGATGAAGCGACCTGCCATTGACTTGGATCCGTCCGAGGACTTTGATGACAGTGGTTTTGTCGTGGTCGGGACCGCGCCTGAAGCGAAATCGGGCGGCAATCCGGGCGCAGGTACGCAGGGAGACAGTCAGCCTCTTGGGAAAGCGCCAGCCAAGCGAGTTTGCACGGAACTAGGCTCGGAGGTTGGGTTGCAGCATGGTGGCAAGGCAATGTCCGACAACTTCGGCAACTACACGGAAGAGTGCCGGAACATCATCCTAGAAGCCTTGCGGACAAGTGAAACTTTCGCGGCGGCATTAGCTTCTATCCAGCGGCAAATTCCACATTTTACGCTAACTCGAGCTAATTGCCAGTTCCGACTTCATCGAAACACTCTTTTGGCTTGGTTTCGGCGGCCGGAATTGGCGGCAATCCGAGCTTTGCATAGTGAGCCTCTTGGGAAAGCGCCAGCCAAGCGAGTTTGCACGGAAGTAGGCTCGGAGGTTGAGTTGCAGCATGGTGGCAAGGCAATGTCCGACAACTTCGGCAACTACACGGAAGAGTGCCGGAACATCATCCTAGAAGCCTTGCGGACAAGTGAAACTTTCGCGGCGGCATTAGCTTCTATCCAGCGGCAAATTCCACATTTTACGCTAACTCGACCTAATTGCCAGTTCCGACTTCATCGAAACACTCTTTTGGCTTGGTTTCGGCGGCCGGAATTGGCGGCAATCCGAGCTTTGCATAGTGAGACATTCGGTTCTAGGCAACGTTTTTGAGTGACTACAGAGATGCTTATGTTGAGTCGAGTCCAAGATGTGCGTAAGTCACGTCGAGAGGCGGTGGTTTTCGATTGGCAATCAGCGAGCAGAATTTCAAAGAGTTAGCCCCTTGTTGCTCGATGCATGTCCATGCAGCATTGTTAGAAAACATATGTATGCGGCAGTCTTTTCTGTGCTTCAATCGTTGCACTGCTGGAGCCTGCCTGCTTCACACAAACACCGGATATCGCTGGCCGCCTTGAGTCAGCTCGAAGCTCTTTGTAAGCAAAGTCTTTCTTTCGCTTTCCTTGTGTCTTGTCCAGATGTCGGGTGGTCTCTTTGGCGAAGCTGCTGCTCCGGCCGCGCCCAAGGAGGAAGAGCGCCGCACGAAGTTGTATGGCTATGACAGCGTCGCAAGCCAGATGCTGGAGCCTTACGGCGAAGGCGCATTGGACACGTTATCCCTAGAGCAAATTTGGCAAGGAACGGTTAAAGGCAACAAACGGACGGCCTATCACAGCCATTTGGCTGCTGATCAAAGCTCCGACGGCTGGCATGTTGGAGCCGGCATTTCCATGACCTCTGCGGCCTTGCTTGCCGCAATCAAGAACTTTAAAAGCGAAGACATGAAGAACTTGATTCGGCCCGACCTCTATGAAAAGGTGCTCGAAGAGGTGACGATGTTGGAGCCTGTTCTACTGGCCCTCAACTTCGGCAGAGGCTCCGCTGCTACCCGCGACACTGGGTCATTCCGAGAAGCTAAAAAGGCCAAGCTCACGGTTTCCGGCAACGTCACCGAGAATTCCGGCAACATGGATCCTTTGAAAGCTGCGGGCGACTTCAGAACCTGGCTGGTCAAGGAAAGGTCACCGTTTCGAAGCCTGCTGTTCATCCTCTCGGGCAACAACTCTTACTACAGCGGGCACACCGCCGAGCTTGTGGCTCGAGCAGCGGTCAAGGTGAAGCCGATGACCGAGCAAGATTTCATTGAGGCAGTGAAAGCCCGAATGACTAAACCGGATCAGACTCAGGGCAGCAAGGCAGCGTCCTCAGATGGTACTGGCCTCTTCAATGCCTGAGCGGCTTTCGGGTGATCGCGACAGCGCGAGTTGCATAGTTCCAGACACTAGGTCCTAGGCAACGTTTTTGAGTGACTACAGAGATGCTTATGTTGAGTCGAGTCCAAGATGTGCGTAAGTCACGTCGAGAGGCGGTGGTTTTCGATTGGCAATCAGCGAGCAGAATTTCAAAGAGTTAGCCCTTTGTTGCTCGATGCATGTCCATGCAGCATTGTTAGAAAACATATGTATGCGGCAGACTTTTCTGTGCTACAAGCAACCATTGCTCTTGACCTCGGTAATTGCTATGGCCTTCGACATGAAGTTGATCAATGTCGGGAACAGCTGCTTCATCAACGCCGGGCTGCAGGCGGTTCTTGCTCTTCCTGGGTTCGACTCGTTGCGACCGACGACGGCAACAGAAAGAGCTTTGTTGGAGGTGTGGTCTTCGGCATTGGCGTTGGTGGGTGCGAGCACTCCGCAAGCCGTCAATGATTTGTACTACCAGGGGCGCCAGGAAGATTGCATGGAGTTCCTGGGCGAGCTGGTCGCGGACTGTCCGACGGTTCACGCGAAACTTCAAGGCAGGGAACGAGGTCATCTCGGGTGTGCATTCTGCGATTATCGTCGGCCTCTTCCGGCGGAGAACTTCCTGACGCTGCAGCTCGCTCTTTTGGATGATGATCGGCGACTTTGTTCGGTGCAGGCAGCGGTGGATTCCTATCTTGCCCAGAACATCTTGCAGGAGGACATCGTTCATTGGGAGTGTGAGAATCCGACTTGCATCGAAGCCGGAACAGCTCGTCATGCCCCTCGTCGCTCTAGCCAGGTGGAAGCATGGCCCGAGAACTTGATCATCCAGCTGAAGAGATGGGACGTGCTGCATGGACTTCTCAACCACGAGGTGTTCGTGGACAAAGAGCTTCGAGTAAAGGAAGATGTCCGGTATAGACTTCGTGCAGTTGTTTGTCATCTAGGAGAAACAGCATCCAGCGGTCACTATGTCACTTATCGACCTAACGAGAGGAACTTTGTCAGGTTGGACGATGCACGAGTTTCCGAAATCGATCACAACCCGGGTCAGATGCCTACGAGTGCAACAGAAAAGACTTACATCGTTTGCTACGCTCGCCTGGAGGGTGTGCTTCCTGTTCCTGTGCTGCCGATGAAGCGACCTGCCATTGACTTGGATCCGTCCGAGGACTCTGATGACAGTGATGTTGTCGTGGTCGGGACCGCGCCTGGACGGAAATCGGGCGGCAATCCGGGCGCAGGTATGCAGGGAGACAGTCGGCTTCTTGAGCAAGCGCCATCGCAAGCGCCAGCCAAGCGAGTCCGCACGGAACCAGGCTCGAAGGTTGGGTCGCAGCATGGTGAGCCGCAGCATGGTGGCAAGGCAATCTCCGGCAACATCGGCAACTACACGGAAGAAGACCGGAACATCATCCTAGAAGCCTTGCGGACGAGTGAAACTTTCGCGGTGGCTTTAGCTTCTATCCGGCGGCAAATTCCACATTTTACGCTAACTCGACGTGGTTCCGAGTACCGACTTCATCGAAACACTCTTTTGAATTGGTTTCGGCGGCCGGAATTGGCGGCAATCCGAGTAGCCCAATCGCAAGCCTCCGTATCTGCCGACACATGTGGCTTCGGGCGACGTCCATCTTGGAACACTGCTCTCGGAAAGCTTCCGACACAGCAGCGCAACGCCGTGGTCGAAGCTCTCACATCTGGTTCGACCGCGACGGTGTTGGCGGCTTTGACAGAGGAAGCTGCTGGGCCCGCACCGTCGACGGTGCCTGAGAGCACGCTTCGTCGTTGGCTTGGCCGCGTTCCGTTGCCTCCTCAAAAAACTTCCGAAGCTGAACCAGATTCTCAAGCGGATCGGTCCTCAAGGAACAGGTTGCACGAGACTTGGGCAGAGGAGTACAGCTTGAATTTTGGAGTACGCTTGCCGGTACTTGACATGAAGCAAACAAGCGTGGACAAGAGAGATTCGAACGCTTTGTGGCTTGTGGAAGGCTCCTGGACTTTTTGTCCGGATTGTGGTCGCAGACGTGCTCGAGGGAAGACCCGAAGAACATCGCTTGCAGATCTGCATCCGGTGGAGTATTGTCGACCTTGCTGTGATGTGGCTGCAGTTGATCTGCTTTCGCCCGCTCCAGCAACTACTCTCGACACAAGAGCGCTGGTCTACACGACGCCTCAACGAAGCACTTGGCACAGCTGGTCTGCTGCCATTGCCTCCGGTGAGCTACCTTTGACGGCGGTGCTGTGTGAGTCGGACTTGAACAATCTAGCTGTCTTGACTATCCATGTGGATTACCGAACTCGCAGAGGCGGCAAAGCGGAAGTCACCAGCAAGCAGAAGAGATCTTTGACACGTTGCCGCTGGCAGCGTCGGCCTCTTCGAGAGCTACTTCGAAGTGATCTTGCTTCGAGAGCCTTTACGTGGCTTCTACAGAACAACGAGACCTACCGAGCTTGGGTGGATCGCCACTCGGCGCTATTCGAGACGACCGGCGACTTGCAAGAATCGGAGCTTCAGACGGCGCAGCTTCTTTTGCGGTCTCCTGGCATCGAGGTTGCAACTCGGCCATGGCTATATCCTTTAGCCAGTCTTGCAGACACAGACTACCAAGAGAGACTGCTGCCGTTGGGATGGACAACTACTCGCAGCAGACCTAGCATTCGTGCCGGCTTCATGCGCAAGCTCCAGAGTCGGTGTGTCGACTACGCAGCTGACTATCCGCTCCAGTGTCTTCTCTACGACACGGTTATGGCCAAGACCATTAGCAGTGTGCAGGCTGTCGCGGATAAACAGAAAGTCTCGCCCGAGCAAATTGCATCCGACATGGATGGATTTGACGTTTATTGGCAACAGCAGCTCCGGAAGATGGAGGACATCTGCCGCCAAGAGCACGAAAAGCACGGCAGCATGGAGAAGGCACTGCCTTCGGTCTTTTTCACCGTAGCTCCTGCCGAGTGGCGGTTTCTTCTTCACAATGGTGTCTTTCATGAAGGGCCTCTCACGGACCAGCAGTTGCAACTCACGCTCCACTTCTACCACAGTCTGCAGACCTTGTTGGAGCAGCACATCCTCAAGAATGGCGAGAGCTTGCACCGCGTAGGAATTGCGAAGGTGAGACAGTGGTCCTTCCGGTTCGAGTTCCAGTCCCGAGGAACACTTCACCTACATGCTGTGCTGTGGGCTGACTTGCTTCCGGGATGGCAGGCTCGGGACGTGACCGGCAGAAGCGACACTCTTGTCAAGTCTGCCTTCGTCGAGTTGCTTGAGAATTTGTTCCGGAGTCGCGTAGATGTCCAGTGCGGAGATGGTACACACAATCTCTTGAGGTACGTGGCGGGCTATGTGTCGAAGGCTTCCGATGCTCTCAGCTTCTCGCAGCGGCAGGCAAAGAAGGATGGCAGTGCCGAGGAGATGAGCAAGTGGAGACAAACCTACCGTCTCCTTTGCAAACGATCTCCGATGGAACAGGAGATCCTGATGGAATTTGCTGGTCTGGCCATGGTTCGGCACTCCTTTTCCGGTCACACGCTTTTCGCGCCCATACCTGGGAGCCAAGCTCGGAATTCGTCTCGGGATCAGTACCTAGTCTACCAAGCGTGCTTGAAACGACCACGTGATGAACTTGGTTCCGCTCGAGGATTGAGTTTCTTGCAATGGCTGCGACACTTCCGCGTGGTAGACGTTGAGAAGCAGATAGTCGCCAAAAGAAACGCTGCCGGGCCAGCAAGAGATCACGATTGCGGGGTCGCCATCACCTTTCCATTCGAGCTCTTGGATATTTTCATTGGTGCCTGGGCAGCGACTTTTCTTCCGAACATGGAAGAATTCCGGCTGTTTCCGGAGACAGATGAAGACGCAAGGAACTATCCGGCAAGTCTCGCTGCAGAGAGATCTCGTCGCTCCTCTTTTGTCGCCCCCGAAGGGTGCAAGCACTTGAAGGCTGTTTTGTGTCTGGACGAGTTTCAACTCTATCGCAGAGACTCGCTGGTGTTCCATCCGAATGTTGGAGAACTTCTGTCAAGAGTGGAAACAGATCTCACTCTGAGAGGACTCACGGCAGACCGCATTGCCACTTTCAAAGCCAGGATTCATGCATGTGCTCTTTTACTCTGTGCCTTCCGAGATGGACGCGAAGATCCAGGATTGTGGCGAGCCCGTGCGGTACCCGATCCTCCTAGCCGCATTTGGTCGCCGGAGCAACAGCAGGTGTTGGAGCACGTGAAGCGAGGAACCAGCATTAGCGATGCCGCTGAAATGACCCAGGCATGCCGAGTGTTGCAGGTCGCCGGCGGGCCAGGCACGGGCAAGACGGAGGTCATCATTGCGGCGGTGCGCCAAGCCCTGCAAGACGGCTGTCGCGTCTTGATTGCAGGTCCAATCGGTCTCCTGGTGTCCATGTACAGATTGCGCTTGCCCAACCTCCACAATTTGACCATGGAGACGGTGCATTCCGCTTTTCGAATTACCAGAGATGCCGATGCAGCTTACATTCCGCCAGGCCGACTTCGTCAGTACGACCTCATTGTTATTGACGAGGTCAGTCAGATTGAAGCGGCCGTGTGGAGGAAACTGCAGACTGGCCTTGGAGAGTTGACGCCATGTCCATTTCTGGTGTTCGTAGGAGACTTCCAACAGCTTCAGCCGCTGCAAGGAGGACCTGCTCTGCAAACTGATCTGGATCGAGAGCGAGCCGAAGGTCACATCCTGTATGTGAAGCTCGAGCAACATGAAGCGGCTCGCTCGGTGGACCCGACCATGCTCGCTTTCCTGGAGGCGGCAAGAGTGCAACAGCCATCCCGAGAAGAACTGACGGCTTTCTTTGCAGGCAGACTCTGGTCTACAAATCTTCAAGCGGCAGCTTCGCGTGCACTTGCCGTGGAAGCCGAGACTGGGTCTAACTTCACGTTCTTGTCAGTGACTAATCGCGGAGCCGCAGCCCTGAACCTTGCACGGCTCGGTCTTGAGTTTCCGGAGGCGGCAGCGACACTTC